ACAGAACATCAGAGAACAAGCAGATACTGTTTTACTTAGGGGGCAGACTGGTGCGTGGTGCTGGTGGTGTTTGTGTGTATATCAGGTCAAGAAATTAAATGTATTTCCTATTGTGGAAGTACAGGATTTAGAAGTCACTGATCCAGAGTAAATTGCTTAGCCTCTATGAAGTTGCTTCTTATCTTTCAAATGGACATTAACATTCTACTTCACAGAATAGACACAAATAAGATAACTTCACATCTTTTCAGCTATGAAACATCGTATCATTATTTTAGTTACAGCATTTGGGTTGAGTTTCCTCAGAGCTGGCTGATTCTCTGCCTACCAGCTCACAGCCTAAACTCCCTGCCCTAGCAATTCGGACATGCTGTACCAAAGGCAAGTCTGAGACCGCAGTCTCCTAGACAGAGCTAGAGACAGGAGAAGCCCGAGTTTCCAGAATTGGTTATAGTCTCCTTGGTAGTACCTCCCGTATGGCCTGTGGGGAAAAGCCACAACCAGAATGGAAAGACAGCATTTTTGTGCTACTGTGGGGACCCCGTGAAAGAATCACCGCTTAGGGGAAATGAGCCAAAGAGGGAATGTGCAGAGGTCATGGCTGCAGGAGGGCGGACCGAGGTCGCCCCAGCCCTCCGATGGCGCTTTACTTGGAGATATCACCCATCCCTCCTCTTCCCACTCACAGCTCGGAGCCCCCGAGTCAGGCTCCCAATGTCACCAACGCTTCCAGACAGCACGTCACTGTTTAGTTACACATGTTACCGGGGCACATCATGGTATCCCAGAAGGAGCCGAGGCGAGACACTGCCAGCCAGGAAAATGACAACGCCTAGGAGGAAAGACACCCGCCCTCCTACTGCTCCCACACGCTGCCCTTAACGGGCTCCCCGGGAGGAGAGTGGGTCTAAAGACCCAGCAGCAGTACCTGTTCCCAGAAACCAGAGGGGCTCTAAAAAGAGAGACAGAGATTTCCACTGGGAGCAGGGGGACATCTCTGAGGACTCAGGGGCACTAGGATGAAAATACCTCTTTTTCAACATGACACCCATGATCTTCAGGCCAGCATGTTGTGAGTTTTGTGTCGTGGAAGGCTCAGCCGGGCTGGCACAGGTACACAGGTACCACCTGGCTGGGCCGAGAGGCACAGCCTGCAGCCAGTGAGAGTCTCTGGCCCACCTGGGAACGCAGTGCCCTGACGCCCGCTGAACCACGGAGCACAGAAACACGTCTGCCATGGTCTGCACTTCTCTGTGACAAACTCCCACCCCGCTCACAGAGGGGAGAGGCGCGACAGATGCGGGTAAGCGGGAAGCAGGCAGTAATGGCGCAGAAACTGAGGGGCCATCAGAACCCTGCACTCCCCTCTCCTCCCCCCACCCCAGTGGCTGCTGGAGAGAGTCAAACAGATTGACAAAGTGAGCGGCCATCACCTGCCTGCGTTTGGGAATCTCGCCCAGCAGCTTTTGCTCACCTCTGACCTTAGTTAAAAATGAGGTGGAGCGTGTCACAGCGCAAGTGTTTTTCTCTCGTAACAATCTTTACACAGCAGGAGTGTTTTCTAACCGAAACACATATTTGTTTGGCAGAGCTCTACAGAACTGGGGCTGGGAAGGACTGTAGATATCATTTGACCCGGAGACTAGGGCCCAGAAAGGTTAAGTGACTTGGCAAAGGCCGCACAGCTGATGGTATGGTCTAGACAAGGAGCAAGACTAACCAGAATCTCCCAAGATGAAAGATGCCGATCATGGTGCCTCCGAACGTAAGGTTCCCTGTCCCCCAGGACTAAATCTTTGTCACTGTGCCTTTCAGAGTCCCCAGAATCAAGCAATTAGGTATAAAGCTGCATGTACACTGCCCAAAGGCTGTTCACCAATTAAATGGAGGAAACAGCCCCCACATCCCAGCGTTGAAGAGGAATTTCAGTCTCTGACAGAAAATGTAAGTCATTTTATCCATTTGAAACTGGAACACAAATACTAATATATAAAGACATGATTACTGCATGCATAATTGATAGTAAATAAGAAGTATCATTGCAGAAATACACAACCCGCATTGGAAGATCAGGTACTCCAAGTTACAAAGGCTGATTCATTCCAAATTACTACTACACCTGATACCAGCCCAAGATGTTTGCCCATGAGATACCATCTCTTCAGTATTTATAAAAACGAGATGTGAAAAACGCACACGCGAACCAAGGTTCTGAAGACTAACCTGCAGTGCGGGCAGCTACAAATCGGGCTGTCCGTGGTGAGCACAAAGTCTGCACGCCAGTCTGCGGGCAGGATTTTGCCCGCCCGTACACAACACGCACTCAAGCATCTGACAGATGGGTTCCAAAAAGCAGCGCAACATTCCATAAGCCAAACAAAAATTAATAGTAAAAGGTGCTTAACGTTCCTGGATGTGTGATGCTGTGTCAGCGAGCACAGCAGACGCCTCTGCTTCACCTCCCTCGGCCGCCTCAGCCCAAACACGCGCTCCCCACGCCGCCGCCCCCTGCCCTGCGCCCCGACCACAGCCAGCCCGCGGCGGGAGCCTGCTGCGGCCCCCAACGCTCCACTGATAACATCCGGTCTGCCGGTCCAGGAAACCCAGCGCGCTTGCAGCCTCTGGCCGCCGCTGTTAAAGAAAGGCCAGAACGGAGCTCATCCATACCAGCTCCCCACCCGTGACCCTGCATGGACAGGAATCAAAATAAATAAATAAATCCCATCGGTAGTCGGTGCAATTTAGCCCTGGAGGAGAGCAACTACCGGGACGGGTTCCAAGCGGGGCAGTGCTGCTGGCGGGTCTGTGCTTCCTATATGGTTACACCCAATGACAAGGGGACACTCTGGCTCCCCGCCAGTTCAGCAAAGGCACCGTCTTCTCCTAGCAAGAGTTAATCTACCCCCAAAGAGGGGTGGGGGCAGGGTGGAATGACCACCAGCGCCTACTCCCTACGCTCCGAAGAGAGGAAGCTGGAACTCCTTCCCAAAAGGTGGGCCGAGGACAAACTATTGTCTTGCTAAGAGTCAGGACCCAGACTGGAAGCTAATGCAAAAATCGGAAATGACTGTGTTCTGCCACACAGTCCGCTCAGCGGGCCCCGAAGTCCTACATACCTAGGCAAGATCGGACAAAAATCCCCTGACTCCCCGAAAAGGCCTTCCAGGTTTTTTAAATTACAGGCAAATGAATCTAGAACATAAGCAAATACCTACCCATCACCTAAATCGCTTCATCTGTACCCAATTTTTTTTCTAAAAAAAAAAAAGAAAGCCCATCGGCAGGACGGGGCATTAGAAGCAATAAAGGTCGCTGGTAAAATCTACAATGCTTTCTCCCTGTGAAATCTTCTGAGACGTTCTAGTCGCCTTCGACTGCGGCGGGCTGGTGGGAGTCGCAACCTAAAAGGAGTAACTGCCAAGGGGCGACCCAGCTGAAATCAAACAACAGAAACGGGAACTGCAATCGCCCCGAAATGGGAGGAGGGAAAGGAAGGGAGACTCCCGTGTTCATCCGTCAACATTAATGCCCTTTGTTGTTCACCTTTGCGCAGAACTGCGCGCGCTACCCCGTTCCTATCCCCGAGAACGCCAGCGCCTGGGTAACCCCGTCCGGAAAGCGCTGTCCTTGCCTCGAAGACCCGGACGTTCCGAGACTGTCCCCGGCGTCGCTCCACAGCTGTCCCCCTCATCACCACCCCCGCCGCTCTCGCTCCGGGCCTCAGGGTGGCCCGAAGTAAAAACATCGTGAAATGCCCGTTACCCTCCAAAGAGCAGAGCGGAGCCGCCCAGATGTTGACAAGCACCAGCGCCCCCGCCCCTCGGGACACAGAGCCCTGAACCCCGGGACCGGAGGGAGGAGGGGGAGGAGGGTGAGGAGGCTCCGGCTGTCACAACGGCTACCGAGCGCGGGGCCACATTCCACACTCCGGGGACGATGACGGACGCCAGAGGAAAGGTCTGCGCCTCCCTCTGTTTTGGGGGTGTTCTCTCTGCGCGGTGGTTCTTATCTCCCTCTCCAATCTGGGAAATCGTCGCAACCCACAGCCGTCGTGGGGAAGAAGGGGAAGGAAGAAGAGAAACGCCGTCCACCCTCCTCTTCCAAGTTGACACGCACACCCTGTCCCCACTCCAAACTCCGCAGGCTGAGCCCTGCAGCGGGCGGCTCCGCACGCTCCCCCAGCCGACCCGGGAACCCGAGCCCCTTAAGGCGGTGGGGGGCGAGACGCCGGCGCGCACCCCTCGGCCTGGGGCTGCCTCCCCAAAGCCCGACCCCGCCGCGCGAGGCACCGAAGAGGCAATTGCAGCCGGGCAGAGCACTAGGGGCGCGGGGACAAGGACGCGACATGCGCACCCGCTCGACCCGAGCGGAATAAAAGTTGGCCCCGTGGAGACTCACCCACGCCGTATTTCTCGTGCTCCGTAGGTATCCACATGGTTAAGCAGGGCTCCGGGTCTTCGGGCTGGACAGCCCCGCGCCCCTTCTCCGGCTCACAACAATGCTCAGCTGCTAAGGAGCGGCTGCAGCGCTGGAGCCCGGCGGCTCCGCGCGGGCTGCGGAGGCTTGTCTGCGCCGCGGGCTCCCGAGCCCAGCGTTGACACCGCGCGGCCCACGCTGCGCCGCCCGCCGCTCTCCTGGCGGCGGCTGCTCAGAGTCCTCCGACGCGCTCCTAGGGACCCGGCGGCGTAGTCATTGTTCTGATTCACTGAACTGAGCGAACACGCCGAAGCACTCTCGGGCGCACCCCCGCCCGCCTGCGCTGGCTCCGGCCCACCCCGCCCGGCGTCCCCGAGGCACACTGGGAATTGTAGTTCTGGGCCACCCCATCCGGGGGAAGGGGCGTGGCGGGAGCGTCTAGGGGAGAGGTTTAGGTTTTGCTTCCCACGTCCTATTGGTCCAGAGCGTGACCGCACGGCGAGGGCGGGGAGGAAGTGTCGCGTGGATGGGGAAATGCGCCTCCAGTCGCGTTTGCATTGGTTCCTGTCGGCGCCTGCCCCGCCCCACGGCCCTCCCTTTTCCTTGGCGCCGTGATGGCTGCTCCCTTGACCCTGGGTGCTGCTACACTAGGCGAGGAGGACGATGACTGCAATCGCCCCGGAACTGGGGCTGTCAGTAACGAAGGTGAGTACGGCGCCCCCGAGGTGAAAGTGGTCTGCGCTTTTTCTGCTTTCTCTCGGACCGGAATGCAGCTAGCCGGCGGGCGTACCCAAGATCCTGCCGGCTCTGAGATCACCTGGGCGGGAGGTGGCCAGCGGTGGGGCCCAGACGTACCAGCGGGTCGGTCGCGGCTGGTTGGTGCGGGCTGTCTGTGGAGGGAAGAGAAAACGGGATGGCACGGCTCCCAAAAACGGGAGCCACGGAGGCTCCCTGGGCGTTGGGAGTTCCCAGCTTAGCTGCGGAGTGGGTGTGGGTCAAATCAGGCTCGCTCCAGGGCAGTGATCACGCAGGAATGAGAGCCCTTTTTCTTCGCCAGCACCCTACCTCCGACTCTGTTTGCTTAAGTTTGTCCTCGGGAGAAGAGCTTTACTGGGGGGTTCGCGCTGATTTCCACTTGCAGACTGGCCACTGCTGTCCAGTCTGCAGACACGCCTAGTGGTTGGTTGGCTGGCGTGAGCGGCTCCTGACGGGTGTGTGTGTCCCTCCCAGACTCCAGAGTCGCTCTTCCACCGCCCCTGGGGTTTAGAATTGAACGTGGAGCCTGGGGTCCATAGGGAAAGAAGAAAGGAAGTGGTAATCCGCTCTCCTGACTTCAGAGAATATTTGATGTGGTTAGGAAAATCACAGCAACTTCGGCTCTATTTGACTTCCAAGTTGTTCTCCAATCCACTGTAGAGATGAACCCCAAACTTTGAAAACTGCAGGGGGCGTGTCTTTAGGCTTCCTAGCCCCATTCTTTTGCCTTTGGCCCATCCTTCTCCCCTTCGCCTCCCCTTCTTTGTCTCTGATAGGTAATTTAACACAGCAAGGTACCTTTTTATGATGGACCTGATTTGGGGCTTAAATTTGGTTCACAGCCCTTGTTGAGGGTTTTTTTGTTCTTTCCTTATTAATGCTTTTGCTGTTAAACTGACATTGAGTCTTAAGTTTTTGAGCAGAGATAAAGTGCAATAATTACTTCCCATCAGTGGAAGCACCGGGCCCTGTAATTATTTCAGTACCTCTACCAAAGAAATCTCTGTTGGCTCCTGCATTGGATATTGAGTTATACCCACACCCTACGCAGTTCATCGTGGAGTCGGCCATACAGTCAGCTATTAATGTGATAGTAACAGAGTATGAACGCTTTCCAGATTCTTTGCAAATTCCACAGGGCTATCACATTACAATCCAAGAATGGAATCCTCAAGGAATGTTTCTCACAGATAACTCATAAAAACAAAAATAGGGTATGCCTTTCACAAACATTGAAGAACAATAAAAAACCATTAGTTATTTTAAAGTTATAAAAATTCTCGTTATCAACATTTCAAACTGCTCAAAAATGTGTGCAGTACAAAATGAAAATTCCTCCACCACACACTCCCAGAGTAGCAAGTGTTGTTGGTTTGATGTGTGTTCTTTCTGACATATTCCTCAATGACAACACGTCTCAATGGCTTTGAGTTTTTAAAAATGAAAAAGGATCATTCTATGTAAGATCAAAGAGCTGCGGTCTTCCTTCTCCCAATAATCTCTTATAGACACTCTTCCTATTGGTGCATTGATTGCTTCCTTCCTTTAAAAGGCCACTCCCACTCTATTCCATAACATGGACGTGCCTCACTTGAACCATTCCCCTATTCCTGAGCACATAGTAGGACTTTAGTTTTTCAATAATGATGTAGTGAATAGCTTTACATACATATCCTTGGGCATTGTGTATGTGTTTCTCAACAAATTGCTGGGTCAAAAGTTACACATGTTGAAAATTGCACATAGTAGACATTGGATCTTCCCTGTATGAGGCATCAGTGCACCCTCCCACCAGTGTCTGAGAGTAGCCTCTTCCCGCGTGCTCACCAGCTGTGAGGGGACCAATCCAGGACCAGTGTTTAAATGACTAGTAGACAGAACCGAGTAACTGATGGAAACCTTAACTTAGACTCCAGTTTGTTTTCATCAAAAGTACTGGGCAGCTACAATGAATTTGCAGCTTCTGTAACAAAAATAATCCCTCAGATTGGCTCAGAACTGCTCCGAGTTCTCACTAATTTGTACAAGTCAGTGAGAGAGCTTAATGGTTGATTTTTATGTTGTTCTTATGAAGTGGTGACTAAAGATCCCATTTATAACCCATGTGTCATTCTGAGACTTTATCCAATTCTTTTCCAATCCTGCAGTGGGATACAAATTTGGGGCAGAAATAATGACTTTAAAAGTATATTCATATTTTTTGTTAGGCAAGCACTTATCAAGTATGCTCTTTCTCATAAAATCATTATTTTCTTTTTGAAAACTGCCCTTTTAAAGAGGTTTTCATCTAGCTTTAATTAAAATGTCCATCTGTGTGTTTCATCCCCTGGGACAGGGGGGCCTAGGAGTCTTTGGATAGAAATCCTTGCAATTCTACACGATCTTGACTACTCAGTGTCATTGGGTAGTATGCAGGCAGGCACGGTGCCTCCCCTGTGTCGCCAGACCTCTGGGGCTCCAGCCGTCTCCAGGAAGGTCCCTGGCCCTGCACAGCACTGCTTCCCATCCACCTGAACAGTGACTAGGATCTCATATGAAGAACAGATAGTAAATGGACTCAACATTTCTCACACTTGGGAGGTGTTATTGGTAGTTTTCTTCTGCTGTTTTTAATTAGGTAAGGGAGCACACCTGTAGTTTGGTAACGAACCACACACTGAGGACACTTTTTGAACGAGGTCTGTGCCTCCCTGTTGTGATATCCTGACGGTCAGCTGCTCCCCTGCAAATGCTCGCCCAGTAGGTGATGCCTGTGGTAATGCCTTGCCTTGGGGACCTCATTAACTCCTGTGTGCTGTCCCTGGAAGAAAGGGGGCCGCAGGGGGCCCTGCTGGAGTCCAGTGCTGGTCAATGTGGATGAAACACTGACAGTTGGGACATGATTTTGGTCCCAAGAGCACCGTTTAGAGGGTGCATGTTGCAAGGAATTCAGCAGAGTTGGGAAAGGGTTACAAATAGAATAATGGCTAAAGAGACGGCCAGAAAGAACAGATTCAAAAGATTATTTCAGGCACAGGAAAATAAGACACGGTATCTGATCAGATTCGGGACCCGAGGGCAAGATAGGAATCAAAGATGCTCCAAGGTTTCTAACTAAGGCTTGATGCTGTTCACTGAAATAGGAACCACAAGACAGGCACTGACACCTCCTGCGGCCCCCTTTCTTCCAGGGACAGCACACAGGAGTTAATGAGGTCCCCAAGGCAAGGCATTACCACAGGCATCACCTACTGGGCGCGCATTTGCAGGGGAGCAGCTGACCGTCAGGATATCATAACGGGGAGGCACAGACCTCGTTCAAAAAGTGTCCTCAGTGCGTGGTTCGTTACCAAACTACAGGTGTGCTCCCTTACCGCCTCCTAATTAAAAACAGCAGAAGAAAACTACCAATAACACCTCCCAAGTGTGAGAAATGTTGAGTCCATTTACTATCTGTTCTTCATATGAAATCCTAGTCACTGTTCAGGTGGATGGGAAGCAGTGTTGTGCAGGGCCAGGGACCTTCCTGGAGACGGCTGGAGCCCCAGAGGTCTGGCGACACAGGGGAGACACTGTGCCACCCTGCACACCAGGCAGGGCCCCCATCTTCAGTCACCCTGCTTCCCCTCCCTCATCTCCATTATCACACTGATGTTCTCAGGCTGCGGGAATTTGTCGGCAGTTTTGTCTACCCCAGTAGACCATGAACTTCTTGGGGGCCAGAGTTGTCTTGTTTTACTTTTACGCACTCAGGGCTGATCAGAGCTGCATGGAGCAACCTGTACCAGCTCAGGGGGAAGAATCTCTTTGAAATTTAGCCAGAACTTATAATGGGAGCCATTTTAAGCAGAGGAACTGAAAACTGAGGAGATATTATATGTTTGTGAAAGTTGTGCGTGCCAACTAATACATAATATCCTCATGAAGATGGTTCTTGTCAGAGGAATCAGTTAGCATTTTTGCATAGTTTTCAGCCCCTTTTTAAGTGAAGTTTTAGTGTTGTTCAGGTGACGGTGAGAAGAGTCCTTCAGGAGTGTGTGAGCAGCTACACAGGCCCTCACATCAGCCTCCCGCCCGGTCTGGCTGTCACCCAGTGTCCCTCAGCATTGTCTCATTTCCAGCATTAATGCTCACGTCCACTCTCACCTACCTGCCGGGACAGTGGAAAGAGGAGCAGACCCTGTCTAGGAAAAGCCGTCTCTAAATTTCAGCTCTGCCGTTCGGCAGCTGTGACATCAGTGTATGGCACATGCTGCTACACTGATGTGAACATAGTTATAACGCCTACTTGGCAGAGTTACTGCAGTTATGAAAGCCCAGAGTGTTCCCCTCTGTAAAGCTGGACCTCAGTCAACTTTAGTCGCTTTTAATATAAAGAGCAGCCTCCTTGAACTGCCTGCCCCCAGACTCTGTTCACTCAGGAAGCTGTGTGAGTGGCGGTGTAACCCAGGGCAGGCTCAGGAATGCGCTGCTGATGGCTGCTTTGGTTTGCGTGCACTCATGGAATTTGGGGGTTGTCCGTGTGTCTGCTGGCACTGCATACTGGAATTGCAACTATGTGCTCCAAAAGCCTTTTTATAGTCTCTTCTAGACCCCTTCCCACTCCTCCCCAGCACCCCCCCTCACACCAGCCTTCAGCTCCCCACATGGGCATGCACCGTCCTAGTCAGCAGGAAGCTCGGGTGGGCTTGCATATTGGGATGGGCTCGCAGGGTGCAGGCTGGAGGATGGCACGAAGGGAAAAGAGTTGGAGAATCCTAGTCTGGCGGCGTTGGCGTGAGGCTCCGAGGGGCCTCCCCCGCAGCACCCTTTAAAACTAAGCAGGTCCCAGCTTGTAGGCTATTAAGAGGGGATATTAAAAAAGGAGGTATAATAATAATGGTAATGCTGGCGGGAGCTGACATTTGATGAGCAGCAACTGGTGCCAAGTACTGTGTCCAGTACTATTCCGAGTCCTCTTCCATTCTGTC